CGAGAAAGTATTGTAGTCACGAAAGATTTCGAAATTGAGATTATGTTTTTTTGATGTTATATGACCTGCACATCACAAAAAGCATATAACTCATTACCGTAGGTCTGTCACGAAGAAGCATAAAAATCTTTCGAACTTCGTTTTTGACATCACGTTCGATTTTTTTTTCTATAGGTTGAAACTTGGGGATAGGGGCTGTAAATGTTACGTCTTTACCATTAGTCAAACACGTTCTATCATGAAAAAGCTTCTGATCCCGGTAACAACAGAAAATGAAATGATAAAGAAGTGCGAGCAATCGCTGGCGTTGCTTGCCCGGCGCGATGCTGCATCGGCGTGGAGGCCACTGCCGGCTGTGCAATGGCAAACAAACTCCAGCTGGTCTGCGGTGGTGTCCTCACTGACACACCGCTACAGGAGAAGTATTTGCATATTCTATCAATATTTGGATATAAGGAGAACATACCACTTTAGTGTTCTGCGATGCTTTTGTAAATGATGACTTAATTGTCCATATCTGCACATATTTATATTTGTCTGAATTTGTCGATCCTTAAATGTACCACCCATTTCGTGTAATCTTAAATTTGTGTTACTCCGTGTATGTTGATTCTCTGAATATTTCGTCAAGTGGATTGAACCAGGATTTATGATGCAACTATACAACAGAACCGGACTGACAAACCGACGTAATTGAGAAACAGGAACTTGTGTGATACAGATATCTTTAAGCAACAGAAAACGTGTGGACTGAAGTTCGAATATTATCGGGAGCTTCGTACTTCCGTCGTCTAAGTAGTCGTATATTTTGAAAATTGATTCAGAGGCGGCGGAGCTACAATCGCTGGAGCATAGTGTTACATTTCCGAGATTCATGCTCATTTTAAGACATTGTTTTTATGGTATGAAAATTGTAGGTTTTAAGCTGTACGCAGTAAAAGGTTGTAAATTGTTGAAACAACTTGACTCGTCTCTTTTCCAACGAAGGCGTAGGAATTATATAATCAATCTACTTGACGCCATTTCTTAACACACTGTATTCCATAAAAAACATTTTTCATTCAGTCGTTATATCGGTCAAGGCTGAACTTAATACGGACCCTGTTCTATAGATCTAGAAATGCGTGCTTAGTATAGTACACATTGTATATATTCCAAATTATTGTTTTTATTGATCTTGCAGTAGAAAGCATGCATTCATGCCTCTCTTACTCTCTTTCACACGCATACCTTTGATCTCTCTCTCTCTTTCGCTAAAGGTTACAGTGTATTTTTCCAAGGTTACTTGAATGTTGGTCAAATGCCGAAAAACAGGAAGATATCTTTTATCGACGCCAACGTGAAAGTGAAGAGCATTATAGAATCAAGATTGGCGTGTGTTAAATTCCTTCTGTGGTTTATTAAATATTTTCCTTGGTGCTTTTATGTGGGACGCATTTTATTCCACATATGTAATCACTACTATGTTAAAGCTGAAAATATTTTTAGATTCGCGTTGATAAATCTTTTGGATCTCATATTAAGATATAACTATCATAGTCAAGTAACACGAACTGGGGATGCAAAAATCTGATAGTTATACTTTCAAAGCATCTTAACTGAAGGGTTTGGCATAGATATCTATGTCCTAAGTTGATTTTTTGATAACGAGGTCGCTATAATTTATAAGGCCAAATTTCACTGAGCCAGAGCGCATGGGTCACAAATTCAACCAACGAGAAGACGTCTTTGAAGTAATAATGCTCTCATTCTGACATATGTCTTTTTAAAATTGTACCTGCAACAGCGAGCCATTCAGATGCACTTTTAATGAATCCTGCACATTCCTTCTCTTTGCTTCTTAGCAAAATAGTAATATTTCCGTTTTATCTGGATTAATTGTCAGATTGTGGTCACTTGAATATTTTTATAATTGCTCAGATCGTGATCTAATAGGACAGCGGCATCTTGCGAACAAGAAGTATCAAAATTTTATTCGTCTTCAAACAATTTATTAAGCATAATTTTTTAATGTAATGGCGTCAATCTATTATATCAGGTTTGACCCATGTTTCGAGTAGGCCACAAATCCTTTTCTTTAATCTTGGAATTTGTGTAAACTTTTTTGTCCTAACAAAAAATAGATGTTTGTAGATGAATCATGTACATACATTTCTTGATTTAATATGAGAAGAACTAGCAGCCCACCTTACATACATACTTTTTCTCTAGTTTGAGAGACAAGGCGCAAATTTTGATTCCAGTCGGTCAATGGTAAAATCGGAAATAATTAGTCGATGTCTGAATAATTAGTCTAAATCTTTAGACGCAACAAATGTTTTAACAAAAGTATCCATCAAATATTGTTAAAATTGTTTGTAAGGTATGAAAAGTGCATTTATTTATTGATACTAATGAGTGGAAGATAATGAATCAATTGCTATTCCTTGAAGAACCTTGAAAATTGTGACGCTATCAATAAAATTTGTATTTTTGAAGGAGGATGTTTATTATTAGATGGTATGTACATTAAATATAGGAAGTACTACAATGTCATGCCCACTCTTACCTTGTCTATAATATCTTCATAACACTGAATAAAATATTGTGAAATAACTGACAATAGATGGTACACTGAGAAATAAATTGATAAAGTCAAATAAAATTTTAGTTAGGGCAATTAAAAAATTTAATTACCTATGTGACAGCTAACAAGAATGATTAGTTAAATTAAACCCCAATTTTTAAAACAGTTTACTTGAATCAGTGAAACTAACTAAATCGAAACGCAATCATTTAGTTAAATTTATTAAGCCATTTACTTAGATTTAGTACACCAATTTATTTAAGATTAATGAACTATTAACATGCGTTTACCTATAGTACAATTTAATTACTTTAATTAACACTCTTATCTTATTATCTATACGATCCGGTTTTAACAATTATTTGTCTGATTGTCCATAAGCAGGTTATAATATTTCATCACTCACTAGAAGCAATTCTTTGCTGTAAATTCAAAAAGTACGGAAAGGGAAACCTGAAAGTGAATAAAGCCAGTTGATCAATTTTTTACTTTTTTTTCTAATGATAAAACAATATAGCACTCATACTCATTCAATGCATTAACATATATAAACAAATTCGACATCCTTCCAAATAAACTAATATATTTTCAAATTCTATATTTATGAAGAATCTCGAACATAAATTCGTTGGAACGTTTCTGAAAGATTCGTGGTTTTTGAAACAATAAGAACAAAAAGAAAACAAAAAGAACATACAGAAGCATGGTTTAACTATGAAATGTTCATGAAAAGCTTGGGTACATTTTTTGAAATTTTGCGTTTTTAGCAGCACTACATCAAAGTGACGATGTTCAAGTTTGATGACATATCTCTCTAAGGATGGGCTCTACAATTCTGTGGCGACGCGTGATTTTTCATAAACTGTTACCAAAAAAAGTTTTTGCTTATTTTAGGTATTTTATTTAAACTATTTTTAAATTAAGGGAAACATTCCTGGACTGAGCGTCTGGGGCACTTGATATACCTCATCGTCTTATGCTATGACTAATCCAAGCCGTCCGAAAAAACAGTCGATGTTCGGAAAATTTTTGATATTTTTTGGCAATGGATGTTAACAATGTAATTTCCTCTATCCCCTTCAAAATGAACGATAATTCCTGTTTTGTCAAAAAATATACGGTATCTAGAAGTGTGCTGCCTAAAAGCTTGGTTAAGATAAACTGAATTAAATTGGCTACACATCTCACATGTAACGGAGAAATTTCATACCTCCTCTTTAGAGCCCTAAAACTATTTAAATTGTTGACTCCGCTGCTGGTCCACCAATTTTTTTCTGTATAAAACCTGTATACCGCGTTTAAATTCGAGAAGGACTGTCTCTGCTGCAGTACCTCCGGTACCAACGTATTCTTTAATTCTATATAGTAATAATTCCGTAGCCGACAGTTCTGGCATTAATTTCATTTATATCAGTAAAATCTTGTCAATTTTATGAGACTATCATAATAGCTATTTTTTTGTCGTGTTATTTGGTTCTTGTATGCACACCATTAGTTAGTAACCATTATATTGCCCTGTAATTGGATGTTGGGCAATTGAATAAATAACTAAAATTATCCCTCGTTCAAGGTCAAATTGTATGTTTTCAGGTTCAATAGGTTAAGAAGTGAAAAAATTCCAGGGTTGTCTGACTATAACCTAATGTCCTACCATCAAACCATTTCACGTAATTATTTCAATTAGTGAAAGACGTCAATTTAGTACTACTTGAACGTTAACTGAAGTTAATTGCCAAGGATTTCTAAGACTGCTTGCGATAATCGGAAAGTTAAAATAAAATTATATTTCGATCAAGTATCATCAAAAGTAATCACCTTTTTGGTGTCGTTTAAAGCATAATACGTTCATATACAATGTCAGTCTGTCTGTTGATTACTTATTGTGGAGTAAAATTGTTCAAGGTAATTTTCGAAAATAGCTTAGTTGGTTTCTTGAAGGATTATCAATTTCAAGTTTTTTAGTGGCGCCATTTTTACTTCTCACTTAGTGAGAAAATTCGAAAATGGGATACTTGTTTTTTGAATGTTACATGTCACCCATTTCGGTCGGTCTGTGTGTCGGTCTTTCCGCTATTCCTATAACCGAATTTAACTTGAGCACTACCTCTCGGATGTTGATGAAATGTTCACACAAGGTTACTACTATGGTGAGGATGAAATAGCTTTATAGTTTTGGAAAGTCGGTCCAGTGGCTTTGGAGCTAAGGGTAAAAAACGAAGATAATGAAAAATGCTCAAACTTCACTCCTTGAATTTTATAACATGAAGATGATGAAGATATACTATATATATTTTCAATACACGTGGACTGTCGGTAGGGTATGGGAGAAATTTCTAGGTCTCATTGTTGCCAACTGGGAGATGGGAGAAGAAGATGAACCAATTTTGTGAGCCTATTCTACTTGATATATTCAAATGCTTTGTTTTCTTTCTAGAAATTGGAACCTATCCAAAATGGCGACCGACGAGCTTCCAGATAGGATAGCGGAGATCTTCAATGGCAGCACAATTTTCATAACAGGCGCTTCGGGTTTCGTAGGAAAGGCCTTGATTGAAAAACTACTGAGATTGACGAATTTGAGAAAAATATATTTGCTATTGAGGGAGAAGAAGGGAAAAGCCCCGGTAGACAGGATGCAAGATATATTCAACAATGTTGTAAGTAGGAGTTTGAGATCATCTTTGCAACAGGGATGCCACGACAACAAATAAACAGTTATTATTCCTTCATTCACTGTATAAATTGAACTAACAAATTATTAGGAAAAGCTTTGGAACAATGCTAAGAAGTACTTTTCTCCTCATAAAATCATCACTCTGTATACAAGACCCAGGTGACTCCTTTTTCTAGATACGTTCCCTCACTAGTTATGCATTTTTTCCACCTTTCCGGAAGCTTTTTGATGCCGGTATCGAAGAATTCCTTGGGCAACTCGGATAGCATGTGCGCACGAACTCTTCTACCTCGTCGTCGGTGTTGAAACTTTGACCTCCGACGGCTTCTTTCACTGGTCCAAACGTGTGGTAGTCGCAGGGTGATAAATGAGGACTGTACGAAGGGTGTTTCAGTACCTCCCACCCAAATCTTGAAGGTTAGAGTAGTATGCAGCATTGGTGGAACGTTGGGTGCCCAGGAAGTCAACGTACAGCAGGGTGAATGTTGTCTGGTTCGCGGTCGACGATCATGCGGCTCATTCTCGACAGTTTCGCGGCCATCCTTGAATGCTTTGGCCCATTTAAACACAGCAGCCCTACTCAGGCACTCACTACCGAACTGATTTCGCAAACGCAGGAAAATGTCCGTGTTTTGAACGCCTTCCCAACACTAAAAAACGAACGACAATACGTTGCGCAACGGTGGTCGGCACTTGACCTTCACTCATAGTAAGGGACCCAGTTATTATATACACGCGTGCCATCTACAGCATTTGACTCCATCATATCTGAACCACCCTCGTATATCAAATATAGGGTATTCTATTTGAAAAGTCATGCTTGCTATAATTTTAAAATATGGAGACTACCACGGAAACAGATTTTTTATATCTTTTCCAGTAAGCTAATAAAACCACTTTCCATTTTTGTTGACATGGGACATTGGGGGTGAAATTGGTTCCATATACAAATACAGTGAAACTGTGTAGCCTCAGTATTTAAGATATTGTATCATTATTTGTACACAGAATTCCTGATGTGGCCAATTTTATATATTTTCACCAACATACTATTTTACTTTTGAGTTCTCTTGTTGTTTGAGTTATATCCCAGGATGCTTGCTTTTTATACCAGTAGCGGTGAAACAGAAGTCTGCAGTTATTATTTGTTTCAGTTATATGACAAGATAAAGTCGCTAAAACCACACGCTCTAAGCAAGTGCACAGCAATTCAAGGCGATGTGAGTCAGATAAATCTCGGAATATCTCAAGAGGATCGAGAAAAATTGAAAAATGAAGTAGATTTTATATTTCACTCAGCCGCAACCACCAGGTTCGATGATACTCTGAAATATGCTGTCATTATGAACACTAGAGGCACCATGTATATGCTTAGATTAGCTGAAGAATGCAAAAAATTAAAAGTAAGTATTTTAATAATTGAGTTAGGTTATTTTATAGTTTAGAAAAAAATTTTAAGAAGTGTAGAAAAAAGTCATCCGACGCTGAAGTTTCAACCCCATTCTATACTAAGACTTAAGACTACCAGCCCAACCTGAGGGTCGTAGCTTTGAATCTCATCGGTCGCAAATTTTTTCTGTCTTTTTTTTATTCCAACTTTCACTGTAAAGGGTATAGCATGAAAAATAGTTTTAGTAATACTTTTCAAGTATTTTCATATGACTTATTTCTTGAAAAACATAGCTACATAGATGATATATTTTGATTTGATAAAAACTGCCAATTTATAAATAATGATAACGTTTTCGCGGCATTTCTCCTAATAAGATAATTAAAGCAATTTATACTCCAATATAATTACATATTTTTCTATTTAACCAAGAACCACATTTCAACAGAACGTTCGAGACAGGAATTATCACATTACTATTTTCCCAACCATGCATCCAAAAGATGATCTACGAGCCCCTTCCCACTTCAGTTAGTCTAACTATTGAAATCTTAGTTTTTTCTTATCAAACACAAATAATAAAAATTTAGCAGGGTGTTGTAGGTTTAAAATATTAACAATTAATATTTTGATAATATATAGTAGAAAACACCAAATTTATCACTCCCTACTCAAATTTGCAGCATAAAAATAACATGTTGCAATTACAGGATATCAACCTATTTTCATTTCAATGCAAAATAAGTCTATAACGCGTGGCTGTGAAAAATAAAAGCCATGACAATTGTTTTTATTAATCACAGCTGTCAGAATACGTTTAAAATAGTTTTGGGTAGTTAAGGTTTTCAAAATCAGTAGAGGAACGGTTATTAGTGAGAAAATTCGGTTACTGATAATTAAATCTTTCAATTCTGGGAAATCAAACTCAGAAATTGCAACTTTGTTAGACTTATCGCGGTACAGTGTGAGAAATATTGTTAGAAGTTATAACGTAACTAGTTCAGTTAATATTAAGCCACGATATGTGAAAAAAAGTAATATGACAATTGCCGACCGAAGAGCATTGAGAAGAATAATCGTGAAAAACCGGCGTGCCAATTATTTACAATTAAGTGATCTGTGGAGTGACGCTGCTGGAAGGAGAATTTCGAGGTCCACAACTCATAGAGAGGCCCACAAACTGGGATTTAGCACTTGCAAGGTAAGTTTTCTTATAAAAAAAAAAGTGAAGTAAAAACCCTAAAGTTGCGCAACTTGTTTATAGGCCAAAGAAAAGCCACTATTAACTCCACTGCAAAAGAAAAATCGGCTTAGATGGGCTAAAGAATATAGACAATGGACACCTCAACAATGGTGTGCAATACAATGGAGTGATGAGGCCCGATTCGAAGTTTGTATTGGTGACAGTCGCAGTAGAGTTATTCGCAAAAAAATGAAGCATTCCATGTTGACTGTCTGAAGAGAAAAGTTAAATTTCAAGCATCCATTATGGTCTGGGGTAGTATGTCATCAAAAGGAGTAGGAAAACTTCAATTTATTGATGGAAATGTGGATACAAACAAATATTTGGCAATTTTAGAAGATTCGCTTTTACCAGTGATGGAAGAATGTTTGACATCCGGCCAAGATTTTGTGTTTGAGCAAGATGGTGCAGCGTGCCATATCTCAAAAAAGGCTATAAAATGGATGAAAGAAAATAATGTACCACTTTTGAAATGGGTTTCTAGCAGTCCAGATCTGTCATCTATTGAAACTTTGTGGCACGAGATGCAAAAGGTTCCACGACAATATCCTGCTCGTACAATCACCGCACTGAGACAAAAGGTTCAAGAAATATGTTATTGTTTTACACCAAATTTTTGCCAAAACTTGTTTAACACTATGCCCCAAAGAATTTCAGCCGTAATAAAAAATAAAGGTGATGTTACCCAATGGTAATCTTTCAATTGTTGCTTTGTTAACTTCGCGCATTTATTCGCACATTGTTTATTTGTTCAGAGGTTCTATTAGTTATAGATCTAAGTGATTTCAAATATGTATTTTTTACGGCTAGGGTGTATCTAAAATGTTTTTGAGAAAATAAATTGCTTTAGAAGTAAATAGTTTCGTCATGTTTAGTTTATAAAGGCATATTTTGGTACAAATCTTGAGGTGGGCCAACTGAAGCGGGAAAGGGCTCGTATATAATGCGAAGGTACTGTGACATTTGCCAATATCATCAGACTTTTATAAAACTGAAGATTGATAAATTATTCGAATGCTATGCATTCGATCAAAAATGTCTTTCAAAATTGTAATTTTTGTTGAAAATTAAAATTAAGCCTATTTGCCAAACTGGATCCATCTAATCCTTTATTATACATGTTTGCTGCTTTTTTATAACTCGACAAAATCTCTTATTTTATAGCTTTTTGTACACGTATCAACGGCATACGCCTTTCCCAGAGAAAAAATATTGTACGAAAAAGCATACGAGCCCATAGCAGATCCCCAACAAGTATTAAGTAGTCTCAATTGGATCAAAGATGAAGCAATGCAAGAAATGCAGGACAAGTAAGTCACACTTCATTTTATTTTTGTTATACCTGTAGCTTCCTTTTTTCAAAACTTAACCATTGTATCAATTAGAATATCTCTATTCGTTTTTTATAACGGTTTGTTTCACATAGGTTTGAAGATCAAATTAAAACTTAACCATTGTATCAATCAGAATATCTCTATTTGTTTTTTATAAAGTTTTGTTTTACATAGGTTTGAAGATCAAATCAGATAGGTGACGTCAAAAAACAAAGTTTCAGCGATTTTTTTTCGGATCGATTACAAAAAACTACAAAGCTTTTGCGTCCTTAGCATAGTCTCAACGAAATATCAGTGGTACTTCTCAAGTTATAGGGGATTATAAGATTAATGGGCAGACAGACCGACCGACGGACATGAGTGACATGTTTTTTCGTGGTTTACATGTCATATAACATCCAAAAAACATAATATCTCATTTTTTTGATAATTTTCGCAATTACAATACTTCCCCGCCATTTTGCGTGGAATGTAAAAGAAGTTATGTTGCCGCACCCTGTGCTTACCTATCTATCTATCTATAACTTTCGTAAATGAAATGCTTTAAATGATATAGTAAGTTGCTTCTCTAGGATAATTTTCTGATGCACTGATGAATTATACATTTTCTTAGGATACTGGGCGACATACCGAATGCGTACACTTTCTCGAAATCATTAGCTGAAGCTCTGGTGTATGAAAAAGCTGGGAAAATCCCAGTCATTATTGGAAGACCGGCCGTCGGTAAGTCAAGAATCTAAACAAGGTATATACAGAATGGATTAAGTAAGATCACTAGTTGATGATGATTTACTTTCGATCAGCATTAACCTATACATTTACCGTTTACTCTACAGTGTTGCCACACAAGATAGCTTGAAAGCTCCTTTGAGACTTTCAGTAGGGGAGACCGGGGCTAGTTGTCACAATTTTCAGTAATTCTTTTTTTTTATTCGATCTGAAGCGTTATATGCACATATTTGTTGCGTAACATATGGCTTATCCTTTGGGAACAATATGTAAAATCGATAAGGCTGTAAAATAATTCACAATATTAAATTAAAATGTTTCAAAATACAGAAACAAATGTGACAACTTGCCCCTTGCTGGCGCTGGATGTCACATTGCTAGGGGTTGGTTGTCACGTGTATTTTAGATCATTAATAATTTATATATCATACTTTTAAACATATTTATTATTACAAATAAGACATAAGACATAAAGATTTGGTAATTAGATACCAAATCTTTATGAGAAAAAAGTAGAAGAGTTTTTTTACAATTAGTCACGATCGCAGTTATGACATAAGTAAAGTTCGCGTTCATCAGTGCACGCATCATAAGACCAACCATTGCACGATGAGCATTTCACCCATTCTCCATTTGACGCGCTTTTAGAAAATGGTTCAAGACATCAAGCAAAAACATTCTTCTCCATCAGTTTCATTGTCTGAACAGGATTTTTTGTGAATCAAAATGTCCGTTTTCACTGTTTCCCTGTTTCTCTTTTTCTTGTTCGAGCATTTATTTTACTCTTTCTCTAATTCGTCTTTTACTGGAGTGTCAGTGAATATTGCAGTCCCTCGTTTACGACGGGAAACTCGATTCATTTTTCTTGCCGATGCCTTTGGATAAGGTCTTAAACTTTCTGGAAATACTATATTTCCCGCATGCAGCCTTACTAAACTACTACAGCAGGGATCATCAAAACTAGTTTGATTAGCTGTCTTGCTCTCTCGTATATTATCTATTGCTTCCTGCATGTTAATATTTATCAGACTTACAGTTTCATCTTCGTTCAAGATGATTGGATTTGGCCCAACTTCCTTTTCGTTTAAGGTTTCCGGGTTTGGTCCAGTTATTGCTTCGTTCAAGATACCCGGATCTAGCCTATCAGTGACAGAGCTCGCAAGAAAGTCATCATCCGTGAAAATATCTCTGTTGTAAGGAAACACACCCGTCACCCGAAATCCAGACTGTATATTTTTGGGAGTAAATGCGAGGGGGTATGCAATAGGGACCACTGAAGGTATGTCGTATATAGTCATGGTCTTGCCGGGGTTATTTAAAACCCAAGCATTGCAGGAAGTATTTACATATTTCTTAAAAGGACCGAAAACGGTGCGGCCAAGAGGTTGAAATTTATGTGAACAGTGAGGGTAAAAGGAGAGCATGACAATGCCATTTGCTTTGGCAAAATTCAGTCCTTCTATACTCAGATGTGATCTATGGTTATCTAGTAAAAGCAGGCACGGTCTTTCCACAGTACTTTTCACATGAAGGTCAAAAAATCTAAGAAACTCCCAGAAATGTGACTCTTTCATCCAACCTGATGGGTTTGCTGAACCTTGTGAGCGAGGAGGAGCCGAATTTAAAAAATGTGGTTTGAAATGTACCGGTGGAAAAATGAAAAAAGGGGGTATGGAGTTTCCAATAGCTGATGCTGCACTTTCTAAAGTAACAAGAGTTCCTCTTTCTGATGAAACTATCGAACCAATCTGTTTGAATCCTCTTCTGGCAACAACGCGGTCGGGTCTTTGAACAGTTGTAATCCCAGATTCGTCATGTTCCAGATATCGTGAGGCTCAAATTTATATTTTTCCATAACTGAAGGTAAATTATCAAAAAATGCTTTGACGTCCGTTTTATTGAAACTACTGGCTCTTGCTTCCGGTTTGCTAATAGACAGTACAGGGTGACGTTTCAGAAACGCACTAAACCAGTCAGGACCAGCTCTTTTATGGAGCTTCCAATTTTCCGGCATTTTCAAGGAAATAGCATTAGCAAATTCATATGCTAGTCCACGTAATTCCTTTGGTGGTAATCCAAAATAAATATCAGATTCTTTGAGTACATATTCCACTAGATGAGTTTCAAGTTCAGGCTAAAATATTAAAATTTTTTTGATGTAGCCAACTGAAATTGATGCAACAACTCGATCATCAAGTAATTCAGACTCTGGAATTTTCTTACAGTATCTTGCTTAAGTACGGTAATTTACATTGAAGTCAGCTGCCGCTTTTCTTATTGAGGATCCTAATCTCACTAACCTAGCTGCTCTTAAAAGTACGTCAGGCGACGCTTTGTCCTTTTCAGTCTTCCTTTTGAAATTTCGAACCATGCTTATGTAACCTGAAAATATTAAAAAAATACATTGTATACATATACCTACATAGAATGATGTGCAAAGTTAATCGTCTAGTGTGGGGGCTGGTTGTCACATGTGACAAGAGGCCCCCGCTAATTTCAGACAACCTGCCCCACTAGATAATTAATTTTTAAGGTTAGATAGCGTCACTAAATTAACAAATTCAAAGTCAATGCTTACGTTAAGTCGTATTCGGATTATTGAAGAGCAAAATAAATTCAACAGTTCTTTTTATTATCAAATGTAGTCTTGATAACACAATTTATGTGGCAAACGAAACATTTACTCAGGTTAGGCGATTTGTTTATTTTTGTGCGTGCGACCTTAATCTACCAACGACAACTTTCGTACTGAATACAAGTGTTCTGCCCGGACACGGAAACGATGTGTAACGCGCCAGACAACTACATCTTGCGGAGCTGCTGAGATTTAATAATTCTGACAACCAACCCATGTGACAACCAGCCCCGGTCTCCCCTATGTTCATTACCTGAGTATCTTTATAGTTATTGAATGAAAAAAATAATAACTGTATGAGTGTATGTCGAAAAGGGAATGCTTTACGTGCTTTCAGTAACATTTCCGAAGAATATGTTCCAAATCACAGTCCAGAGATTATACTCGATGCACAATATCTGACATCACTATTACCCTCCCACGTTCCTTTGCATTTTCTCGCTGCGATGGCAGACAGGTGTCCACTGGGAAAGTTCACTTTTTGATTTAAGAAAAAAAATACAAACTTAATGAAAAAAAAATATTCATTAATATCAACATATTCGTAAATTCAGCGGGTTTTATTTCTTAAATATCATTCCCTCCAAATATCTGCCATCCCTTCGGACACACTCTTCTAATCGCGCGCGCAAATTCTTATTCACTCTCTTGCACACTTTTGACTTTAGATAACCCCACAAAAAATAATTGCATTGCGTAAGGTCGGGTGACTTAGGAGGCCAGTGAATGTCTCCAAACTTCGATATAACTTTTTGAGAAAAAAGTGCTTTCACCGTGTCGATCGATTCTCCGGAAGTATGGGCAGTGGCCCCATCCTGTTGAAACCATGCGTTTCTGTTAGATCGACGTTCTGTTCTTACAATAGGAGCAAACAAATTGTCAATCATGTCCTTGTATCGCTCGGAAGCTATTGTTGATGTTTCTCTTTTGGGTGCCCAATATCTGCAATTGTGCTTGTTCACATAACCGTCTCGAGTCTGCGCTGTGTAGGAGAAATATTCAACATCCGTTCAGCACAAGATTTCCGTAATACGTAATCACTTTCCTTTAAACTTTAAAGCCTGGACTGATTGGATTCTGTAAGCGACCTTAATTTTATGCATGTAAACATACGTAGTATTTATCAAAATTTTGACCAATTTTTGGTGTATCTTGAATCATTAAGTAAATCTTTCGATGTTATAATTATGTCAGAAACACACTATGTATACAATATAGACGATTTTAACATTCCTGGGTACAAAATATTCTTTAACGAAAGTAGTCTTAATCGATGTGATGGATCAATAATTTTTGTTAAAAATGAATATCATATTACAAATCAAATAATTCAAGAAAATAATTTAAAGATTATTAGTGTCACTTTGCAAAAAAAACATGCAACGGTTGTTCTCCTAGCTACGTATAGGTGTTTTTGTATTTCAAAGGATGAATTCATTGATAGTCTAGGAAGAATATTTCAACGTTCCATCACTGATCGGAACAAGGTTTATGTATTTGCTGGGGACATTAATATTGATCTCTTAGATAGGGAAACAGATACAACAAATAACTATTTGACCTTATTGCAAGGCTATGGGTTAATGAGTGCAATTAATAAATCAACAAGAATAACTGATAACAGTGGGACTTGTTTGGATCACTTTTTTATTAAATGTAAGAGTAATGTTTTTGAAAAGGTTAGGGCTGTGATTTTGAAGAGCGACCTTACAGATCATCACCCCATTCTCCTTAATATTCAGCTAGATAGATTAGGTGAGGGCATTACAAATGAAATTAATACTTTTACAAAAATAGATTATGAAAATATCACACAAAAACTAAACGGAGAGTTGTGGGGTGATGTTCTACAAGAAAATAATGTAGAGCTTTGCGCAGTGGCTTTCATTAATAGACTAAAAGACATCATTTTGAAAGCCACTATAACTAGGCTTATATCCAATAAAAAAAAATTAAAACCTTGGATCACTGGTGGGCTCCTAATATCTATTCGAAACAGAAACCTCCTTAAAAGGGAATGTGCACTAAATCCCAGCAATTTCGTAGTTTTAAACAGGTATCAGGAATACAGGAAATTTTTAAGTAAACTTATCAAGAAAGTGAAGTATAATTATTACAAATATTTAACACAAAAAATTTTGGATAACCCCAGAAAATTGTGTAATGTGCTTAGAGAGGCCATCAATGACCAAGAGAGTAAACCAGAAATAAAATGTATCACTACCAAAACTAATTCACAAATAACTGATAAAAAAGAAGTTGCAGCTGAATTTAACAATTATTTTTGTAACATTGGTAAAAAATTAGCAAGTGAAATTACTAGAGGTACTTGGAGGAATGAAGTGCGGGAAAAAAGAGG